AGGAGCTGTCAATATAGTTGACACAGACTACCTCCAGCTGAGCAAGGGAGCTATCGATATAGCTGACACAGACCACCTCCAGCGGAACAAGGAGCTGTCAATATAGTTGGCACAGACCACCTCCAGCTGAGCAAGGAGCTATCGATATAGCTGACACAGACCACCTCCAGCGGAACAAGGAGCTGTCAATATAGTTGGCACAGTGCTTCATTTGTGAATTCCTTCCAAGGAAATCTCTTAGTCAAGCTTTGATATTTATTTTAAACCCTTGCATGGGTTTAAACGACCATTCCTTCTCCTTTTAATTGTTGTTGTAGTAATATGATTAGCTGATGGTTTTCAATTGGTTTACGCGTAGGTCTTACCGGAAAATTCCACACCTCTTTCCATCCTAATGTTAAGTACTCATATTGACCTTATCCTTGCAGGGAAGCTATCAATTCTCACTCGAGAAGTACCCCAATCATAGTACTACCCATAGCGTCCATTAGCACCCTCTGCTTCAGGTGTCCTTCATGCACTTCTAGGCTGCTCTGGAAGCCATATCCAGGTTCGTGTGCGTGAATGCAATGTGCTCGATCTGAACCTTTTTTTTCAAGTTATTTGTGGAATATCCGGACTTTCTGTCATTTCCGTCTTTGTCATTTGTTGTCAATTTGTGACTCATATAAATCCCCTCGGGTTGTACTTACCCTACCTCAACGGTTAGCACCATCCTCCCTCCTTCACTCACCAGAGGTCATCATAAATTCTATAGATATTGTGTCTAATACACATAATCTCTGTAGGAATTGTGTTAAGCAATTTGAGTTTTCTAGCAGCCGAAAGACTAAAAACAGTATCTGTAGGAGCATTTATGCCTATAGATGTCGCTTTGAGACCTAAGCAGTGCTACCATTAATTGTCTCTATAGTATACAAGTTAACCACATTTCTATAGGTCTAATGAAAATGATAACATGGTGCATCCCTATCTATAGAGATATTCGCACTTTTCTCTCTGTAGAGAGTATCAGTAATTGAGATGGACAAAGTGGGAGGGCAATATCTCTACAGAACTGTGATGATACAATCTCTGTAGAGAATAATCTCAAATGAGGGGAAATGATGCTACATTTATAAAGACTCTTCGTAATAACCTATCAAAATTTTATGAGGTATTTCTGTAGGATGCATACATATCCAATGCATGCACTTGGTATAGGAACATGTATTTGTTGAAATTCAAGGAGTTATATTTGTAGAAAGCATACTAATCCGAAAATCTGGATGTATGTTCTATAAGAACTTGCATCTTCCTGAGATCTTGAGGAAATGGGAGATGGTTCTGTAGGAATGTCTGACTACCATATGTTCTGTACAGATATCTGATCTAAAGCGCCGGCTCTGTGGAAAGTATACTCGTCCAAAACCTCCATGTGGGCTCTGTAGGAATGTGGAATGTCTCTGGATCAATTGCAGTATCTCTGTAGAAACCTATAGACCAAAATGCATATATGTTCTATAGGAGCACTGGTCACCTCCTAATTCAGATAAATTTGCAGGGTACTTACCAGTCATAAATTAATGAAATTTGTATAGCACTTTTGTAGAAAGCCTACATACCATTGAGTGTACATCCATGTCCTGTAGGAACACAAGCTGTCCCCAGCTTTTTCTGGAGTAGTATACTGGTGAGGTCATCCTCTTGACATAAGAGATAGTGTATAGCAGTGTGAGGGATGTTTAATCCCAATGAGATGTGATAGTAAGAAGTAAGATCTGCTGAGTAAGCACTATGGGACAGTAATTCATACAAGTGAATCCATTTCATACAATCTCCCTTTAGGTTGCTGTGCATTCTGAAGAATGCATGCAAGTGAAATAAGGAGATCAGAATATTTGATTATATCCAAATAGATAAAAAAATAGTGTTGAGGGTGTGGGAGATGTCAGGCTGTTGTGATATCCATGCTGGTGATTCTGCTCATTGGTAACAGGCTTCGTTATACATTTTGTGCATGTATATACAATTTGAGGCATATGAGTAACCTAGATACATTCTCTCTGGCTATTGGTTACTCAAATGAATGTTTTTATCATGCTATTGACCAGCACTGTGGTCAAATGTAGTTGGTCAGGAAGGTATATTCAAGCTGAATCTAGTATACTGAGTTGCAAAAAGTGGTCTTGAAGGGAATTGAACCCAGGGCCTGTAGCTATGGACTGTAATATTTACACATTACCCCACAAAGCTATTAAAGGTCTTTGAATATTAGTCCCCTAACCCCATTGTCACATTATGTTAAACATACCTTTTTGGTGGTATATTCTAATTTCAATAACTGATAGTGTTTAATAAAGTAGTATAATATGATATTTAAAACTATATAGGTTAATAGGAACAGGAATATAGAGATTTATTAAGAAAGGTATAGCACTATATAACTAAGTATTTAAAGACCACAATAATGGTAGTAGTATAATGGTATCATGTTACACTTTTACTTAGTATGATGTCTAGGCTGTGGGTTCAATTCCTACTTGGTACAGTTTTTTTAACTAGAGATGACCAAATGTATTCCCCTCTAGCCAAGAAACTATCTCCTTATTCAGGTAAATGTATTTATTTGCTATGATCAGATATGTGGTCAAATGTATTCTCCTCTGGCCAAGAAACAATTGGTCCTTATTCAGGTAAATGCATTTATTTTTATGGCCATTGTGATTATCATTGAACTAGGAGTATCATATTGTCATATGTTGCCAAATTCAGGCATTCAGAAATGCCACAATGTGCCTTAAATGAAGGAGTGGTAATGACTAAAAGTACAGGACAGAAATTCAGCGATCAAAGTGGTAGCATCACTAGACTTCTTCATGTGATGAATGAGACTGCACAGCTGGTATAGGAGAAACAAGTGCCTGATAAATTGCACCCACAGGGTTACTTCCTTATACACAATGTATCTATAGTGTTATCTACCTACAGCAAAAGGTATGTACAGAGGTACATATCACTGATATGTGTATCTATAACATCATTTACTTAAAGACAATGTACCTACAGGGAAATATACATCATCAGTTCCTTCCTACAGAAAAGGCACTCATTCACAGATCTCTACCTGCAGGCATACATCTGTCCTGACAGCGATACACTCCCACAGGCAAGCATCTCTGCAGGCATATGTCCCTACAGGCATATATTCCCACAGCTAGAGATATCTACAAGTAGGGTTAAGGTGCAGATGCAGTTCTGTACTTACAGATTACTAACCTAAAATAGTGTATTTGGTGTAACCCTGTTCATTTCTATACACATTGCTATGATGTTGTATGTATCTACAAAGATCAATCTGGCAGAGGCAATCTATAGATACATACCTTGCATTGTTGTTTATAGAAAAAGGTATGTGAGAGATGAACATTGCATGGGAGTCACTTCTCTAGAGCACCTCTGTCTGGATGCCATAGGTCTTATCTGTAGGTAGCTGTTGTTTGGAATTTACTATGTGAGTGCTAACACATTCTCTTTAGGACATTATGTGTATTAGACATATATTCTGTATATATTAGAGAGTTTGTGCAAAAAGCCACAGTGCCACCTAAAGCCACAGCACCACCTGTGGCTCCACCATGGCTAATCCAGCCCTCCTATTGGTCAGTTTGAGCCACAGGTGGTGCTGTGGCTTTTGTACAAACTCTCTATTATATTTGCTATGGCTCACTATGACCTCTACATTCAAAGATGAAAAGGCATACATGGAGAAGGTTGGAGAAGCCTCAAGTGACAAAGGTTCATAGGATGTAAGCAACTGGCAAAAAGTGTGCACACTGTATACACTTTCATTTCTCCTACTGACTCCTAAATTTTGGGAAGATTAAACCATTTTATGCCTCGGCAAGCGAATATGTTCCTCTAGACAAACAACGGCTTGTGAAGAAGTTGGATAGATGCATCCTTCCCCTCATGTGCCTTCTCTATCTATTTGCATATCTTGATCGAACAAATCTCAGCCTGTTTGCATATTACTCACCTTCCTGCTTCACTAGTCTGACACTGATTTATTCACAGGTAATGTGTGCTTGCAGGGGCTTCCACAGGACATCTTGGGTGGTGACCATACAGGAAAACTGTTCAATTGGGTCAATTCTGCTTTCTTCTTCAGCTACAATCTATGTCAAGTTCCCATGACAATTATTATGAAACTCTTCAATCCTCATATATGGATGGGCTGCATTGCTATAGGTATGAATTTGCCTATTCGGTTTTCATCAAAAATGATCTACCTTATTAGGCTAGTCAATCTGCTCCATTCTTATATCAACTGAGCCACTGAGAGATGTAGATGTAGTGCTGCAAGCTTTGACAAGATTGGCTAGAAGAGGGGAAATATTGTCCTGTGTAGTGGTGTTGCTGGTAACAAGGGAGTTTGTAAGTATGTCATGCTGGTGATGTTAGAGGCCAATGATCTCGGAAAACTCCTGCTGACTGATCTGGGGAACAATAAAACCGGTGCTGCTCTTGAGGGTGTCTACCACAGCCAGAACTTCAGAAACATCTTCATGCTTCTTGATGGCAGCCACTGGGATAATGCTGAGAGAGAGAACTGCAAAAAAAAAAGGACACAAGAAACAGACATAATGTGGGTTTTTCTCAATCTGGATATGGTTGATGTTTACCTTGGGCGACATTGTTTGTGAGGACAAGACATGCAAGCAATATTGCTGAGGTGACTCACCTTCAGGGGGATATGATAATAACTAAGATTGGAGGCTAAAGACAGGGGGAGATCGCACATGGACCTAGCAACTTGATGTCTCTGGATGCATCATATGAGAGCTGTTGATCAGACTCAGGAATGTTTTTGGCTTGGAAGGAGTCAACACCCCTCCTGCCTCCTGGAGTCATTTAACTTTTGATAATCCTAATATGGCTGATGGTATGTAACTATGCAATCTACAATACTCTGCATTCTCATTGATTTCAAGAAATATTAGATCCATTGACTATTGACATTGAGCCTCAGTGGCTCTCCAACCAATACAAAGTCAGTATGTATTGTCTAAGTTCATTCTGAGAAAGGAGTTAGGAAGCTGATATCACTTCCTAAGTTCCAGATAAATTGCTGAAGCCTCATGTTTACTACATTTGGTGTATGGGGTGTAATGACAAAGAAATTGAGGAGTTTTTGAAAGGAAAATTTGATGAAAGTATATACTCAATAAGGTGCACATAGTGATACCTACCCTTGGACTTAGACTAATATTGCTTGGTGAAGCTCAAAAACAATAGCCAGACGGTGCAAATTATGGGGCCTGAAATCAACAAGAATGCAGAAAAAGGAGATGGACCCTGATGTATTCACAGCAGCCATGCATGAGGTAAGAATCAAATTCCTAGAGATGGGAAGCCATGAAATGAAGAATCACCTCCGGCATACACATGGCATGAACATTCTAAGGTAAATATGCTTATTGTCATCTTACACATATATCTAACCAAGTGACAGGGAGATGATACTAGCCTGGTGCCAATATCATGGACCACATTTGGTCTGGAATCACCAGGCTAAAAGATTTCACTGTAAGGCCTTCATATCTGCTGGGGAAACCATATTGTCATGATAGATCAACATGAGAAATTTCTCAAATATGGTATTTACTTTCATGTTGGCACTGACACATTTAGTGGTCACATTTTATGGTTAAAGTGTTGGTGGACAATCAAGAATCCTCACTTGGTAGCTAAATTCTATCTAGATGTAATTTGTGAGATGGGTGGTATGTATCACTTATTGCTGGTCACCTTTGAAAGACATTAAGAACTCCACAGGTGGGTGTCCCTCTACTGACTCAGAGTGATCTTGGGAGCAAAAACTACAGAGTAGCCAATATTCAAATGACAGTCCACCATTACATGAATCCAGAACTGGAGGGAACCAGTCAGCATCAATGGAAGAGGGAGAAGTCTAATATTCTGTCTAAAATCCAATGGAGTATTTTTAGAAAATTATTCTCCCCTGGCATATGAGAGTATGTTGGCTTATGGAGTTAGCCATCATTGATATAATGAACATGATCCCATACAACAGTGAGCTGTTCTTTGCTTTTAATCCCAGTTCTGACATGCATACCCATGAACCAGAATAGCTTGGAGATTCATCCTTGTTCCTTGGCTTCAAGTAGAATGTGATGATTGTCACTCAAGATGCAATAGTACCCACCAGCATTGAAACAATAAGAAAGTATTGCCTACTGGTATCCCCAATCTTATATACAACAATCCTTTTAAATACACAAATGGTGCCCTGGACTTCAAAGTGCACTTAATAATTTCCATGTCAATTGACTGACATTTCCTCATTCTGAACACATAGGTTCATGTTTCAATGAGCATAATTGATGCTCTGGAGGAGAAGCTAGCTCCTCCTGATCACCTGATATTCCAATTGGTACCTCCTCGCATAGAGTCTTCAGTGAATACATGCTGGCAGAAAATAAGAACACCTAAAGTGAATCTGCTCAACTTTTGGGACACATTTCGTACCCTCATATCAGCCATGCTCATGACATATATGGAACCTCAGCAGGATGATCCTTTGTTGCAGGTCCAATGCCATGGGTGGACTGGAGAAAACCAGGACTATATTGCTCTGATACCAGGACTCTGTCCCACCTCAATTGATGCTGTGCTCACAGGAACAGTCACTTCTGATGAAATAGATGGAGATGATAATGAAGAAGACAAGGTCCCGAATGAAACAGTTAGGAATGACTTAGAGCATGAATATGCAGACTTTACAGATGAAGAAGATTTTCTTCATGAAGATGAAAGGGTGACTGATGATGACAATGACAGTGACAAATAGTTTAGGTGAAAAAATTATGTTTTCTTAGACCTGAATATATTATTTACATCAAGTATGTATATTCCTCACTGTGAAGTAAAGCTAATAGTATATCTATATTGTTAGAATACCATGTAAATTAAGCTCTTTTCACAAAAAGTATTGATCAATGGATAGTGTCTTTTCACGTAATCGCAGTGATCAATAGATTTACAAAAAAGCTACCTATCAAGTGTGCAGAAAATGCATGATCAATGGATTTAAGAAAGCCTATTGATCATTCATTCATTAGGTTTTCAAAAACCCTTGATCAACACTTTTTCTGAAAAGTTAGTGATTGCAAGGTTTTTGAGAAAAATACATGATCATTGCTTTTCTGTGAAATCAGTGATTGTGCAATTGTAGGAAAAGTCATTGATCACTGCTTTTTTGAGTTCACAGAAAAACAATTGATTGAGCATTCACTCATTCTTTTAGAAAAAGGCACTATTGCCTGATCAGTAGGATATCAAATTTGTATTTATCCATTGATTGAGTAAAACTTCTGACATGAATGTACTGTGCATACCATGTACATGACATTGTCAATCTCTTCTCATATCTCTCTCTTCCTCTTACCTTTAAAATATGAAGCATTCTATCATGTTCAGGAAGCCCAAAACCTGACATATTTATCACCAGTGTTAAATCCATGACTG